ACTGGATACGATTCTACTTTTTGTCAACGTACGCGTTGACAGATGCGGTTTGGAAACTATCATTAGAGAGGGGCAGGTAAAACTAACGAAAGACTGCGTAGTTCCAATGAAGCTAACTTTGCTAAAATACATTAAAAGTTCCAGACGAGAGTCACCGTTAGTTTTACCTAAATGCTATGATAATCTTATAATTATTTAAGAGGACATCTCGAATTGTGGCCTCAGCATTACAGGAATTCCCAATCCATTGAAATTATTGAAAACTGCAGGGTTTGCCCCAAAGCAATTGAAGCCACGAGATGCTACTGAAGGGGGCGTGTTGCGTAAACTTAACTTACCCTATAACTACAAGTAACATAAAATGAGTAAATAAATCTTGTCTCTTCTTAGCATGTCAATTCAAGTATTTGAATTTTTTAAGCTTAATGTCATTGTTATCATTATTTTAAATCATTCGGTAAATATTCTTGCAATTTTTTACCTAAATATAGGTGAGATTGTTGCATTACAGATTTCTTTGGTTTAAGAACATTATTTGGGCGTTTTTTCGGCTGTCATGATTATGTTTATTTGTATCACGTTCACTAATAGTTTTATGATAATGAGTGGTAGTATGTAAGAAATAAAGGGGTTTGGTATCATATAATTATGAGTCACTGTACAAGTCATCAGTTGGGTATACTTTTTGTTTGCCAAAAGTTGATTTCAAAATTGTTCGTTGATGCACTTCCAAATATACCGTAGGTTATATGTGGCTATTTCACATGCTATGGCTCTGGTTTCCGTTAATATATAAGCAATATGTACCTGTATATGAGCCCCTTCCCTCTTCAGTTGGCCCACTTCAAGATTTGTACCAAAATATGCCTTTGTAAACTAAACATGACAAAACTATTTACTTCTGAAACAATTTATTTTCTCAAAAACATTTTAGATACACTCTAGTCGTGAAAAATACATATTTGAAATCACTTAGACCTATAACTAATAGAAGTTAACAAAGCATCAATTGAAAGAATACCATTGGGTAACATCACCTTTATTTTTTATTACGGCTGAAATTCTTTGGGGCATAGTGTTAACCAAGTATTGGCAAAAATTTGGTGTAAAACAATCCCATATTTCTTGAAGCTTTTGTCTCAGTTCGGTGATTATATGAGCAGGACGTTGTCGTAGAACCTTTTTCATCTCGTGCCACAAAGTTTCAGTAGGCGACAGATCTGGACTGCTAGGAACCCATTTCAAAAGTGGTACATTATTTTCTTCCATCCATTTTATATTCTTTTTTGAGGTATGGCATGCTGCACCATCTTGCTGAAACACAGAATCTTGGCCGGAGGTCAAACATTCTTCCATCACTGGTAAAAGCGATTCTTCTAAAATTGCCAAATATTTGTTAGTATCCACATTTCCATCAATAGAATGAAGTTTTCCTACTCCTTTTGATGACATACTGCCCCAGATCATAATGGATGCTGGAAATTTCACTTTTCTCTTCAAACATTCAACATGGAATGCTTCATTTTTTTTTTGCGAATAACTCTACTGCGACTGTCACCAACACAAACTTCGAATCGGGCCGCCTCACTCCATTGTTGAGGTGTCCATTGTCTATGTTCTTTAGCCCATCTAAGCCGATGTTTCTTTTGCAGTGGAGGTAATAATGGCTTTTCTTTGGCCTATAAACAAGTTGTGCAACTTTAGGGTTTTTACTTGACTTTTTTTATAAGAAAACTTACCTTGCTAGTGCTAACTCCCAGTTTGTGGACCTCTCTATGAGTTGTGGACCTCGAAATTCTCCTTCCAACAGCGTCACTCCATATAGCACTTAATTGTAAATAATTGGCACGCCTGTTTTTCACTATTATTTTTCTTAATGCTCTTCGGTCGGCATTTGTGATATTACTTTTTTTCACATATCGGGGCTTAATATTAACTGAACCTTTTATGTTATATCTTCTAACAATATTTCTCACACTGTACCGCGATAAGTCTAAGAAAGTTGCAATTTCTCAGTTTGATTTCGCAGAATTAAAAAATTTAACCGAATTTTCTCACTAGTAACCTTTCCTCTACCCATTTTGAAAACCTTAACTACCCAAAACTATTTTAAACGTATTCTGACAGATGTGATTAATAAAAACAATTGTCATGGCTTTTATTTTTCACAGCCACCTATGCGTTATAGACTTATTTTGCATTGAAATGAAAATAGGTTGATATGCTGTAATTGCAACATGTGTTATTTTTATGCTGCAAATTTGATTAGGGAGTGATAAAGTTGGTGTTTTCTACCATATATTATCAAAATATTCATTGTTAATATTTTAAACCTATAACACCCTGCTACATTTTTATTATTTGTGTTTGATAAGAAACAACTAAGGTTTCAATAGTTGGGCCAACTGAAGTGGGAAGGGGCTCGTATGTATCTCAAGTGGGAATGTAGATACATTTCTAAATATTTTGTATCATTGACTCTATTGATTGTCAGATTTTGAGAATTTACTTTAAAGAGAAGGTGACTATAATTAAGTAGATGATTGTATAGTGATGAAAATGGTAAAAAAATTGCTTTTTCATTATCTTTATTATGCACACAGTATGGTACATAATTATCGCACAAAAATGATAATTCTGGTATGTCTAGTAACGGTGATGGCTGGGCGTGCGGGTAGCTTGAAACACATGTTTGTAGATTGCAACGTTGTTAAATTGGTAGGGACTAATTTCTTCATGAGCTGACGACAGTGTTCGGGCGGGAAGTGTACTTGACGACTTTTTCAATTATTTGAGTGAACAACATAACAATAAATCTTTTGATTTGAATTAAATTGTTTCTCCCATACACATTGGTAATAAAAATTATTTAGGCTGGAATGCAAAGACGTTCTCCAAACGGTCATCTTTTGCATCTTTGTCATAGGGAAAACCCAATACAGTAGCCAGCAATAGTATAGATCTGGCAACATCTCTTTTTTCAAAGAAATAGTTAATAGTCTGTAAGTTAAAAAGTACAGCCAATTTGCCAAATCCGATAGTAAATGGCTTTACCTCTTTGAAGTTCAGATTAACTTGAAGGCGATTCAGTTTGTCCATTGACATCTCATGTCTCATTTGTCTCAAGAACCAGAGGCAATCTGAAAAAGTAAATGTATCTTGTGCATATCTTATAGGAACTGTTAACAAAGTCAATGCTGCAATTTTTTTCCTTCGTGGTAAAATTTATTTGCCACTTACCATCCTTAATGTTTTTTTTTGTAAAGATACTTGAAGGGCATCGTCTTTATTTATTGTCCTGAAAACCCATCTGTTACAAAACTTGTCGCAGATAAACTCCGCCTGGAATTACGGATCTTTCACTTTTAAGATTCCACCGATCGGATCGGTTCCAATTTATCGCCTGGTGTGATGTTGTCATCCATCATTTTTTGAATTCCAAAATAATCTGTTTCCTTTACTGTGGGAGCATTATTAATTTTAACGATATTTATACCGCAGATCAGACAATCATTAGGTTTTTCCTTAGGAGTCCCGATTCGCTGGGTGGGGATAACAGCACCACCTCGCGATCGCAATAACGTCAGACTGAAATATTTGTGCTTGTCCGTGCAATATGACAATAAACGAGTACTACAGAAAATAACGACTCTCTAGTCGATTTTGATGTAATTATGAAACAGATTGGTGTGTATAAATAATATATGAATAATATAAATAATAAAACGAATTAAGTTTGTTATATCTTAATTGCTCATCCCTCGGGAGGGCGCGTCAGCGGCAAAAAGCCGCACAATTATATTTTGGCCTTATAAAAACAATATCAGTGCACCGATTCGGTTGCTTGTTTAGGTATTCCTCGTTCGGTCGATTTACCTATAATATGTATGACCATCTCGCGGCTAGCGGCTCAGTTAGTACAAGACTTGTAAGTATATTTTTCTTTGTTTTTATTGTAGATTAGATAATAATTTTCATATACTGTATATGAAGTTTTTGAATTTATTAAAACCATCGACACAAATTATTACTAATTTGATAAATGATGTGTAAAAATGCTACTGACTAGCTTCACACACTTTTTGTTTTTTTTTTCTAAGTCGCGAAGATTTTTAACCCCTGGAGAGTTAGCTGCAGAAGTGGAGCAAGCAATGAAAGAATTTGAACAGGAAAGGGCTGACGAAGATGATCCAAGTGAGTCGGAATCCGAATCAGACGAGATAGTGGAAGAAGACCAATATAGCAGCGATTCTGAACATTCTGAATATGACAGTGATATGAACTTGGAAGACGTCTTCCAACAGCAAGATGATGACCAGTTCTTTATAGGAAAATATTAAGAGACGATTTGGAAAAGTACTACTCTACCTTCTGCGAAAACTGCATCAAAAAATATCATCAAATTACTACCAGGTCCCAGAGCAGCCGCTAAAAATGCTCCCAAAGAAATAGATGCTTTCAATGTATTTATCACAGAAGATATGATTGAAGATATTGTTACTAATACTAACATATATATTCAAAAAAAGAGCTCTGTTGAATATTCTAGTGCCAGGGATTGCCGTGATACCACAAGAATTGAAATCAAAGCTTTGTTTGGTGCTCTAGATTTTATCGGCAGAAAAAAAGGAAGGCACACAAACTGTTGCGCATTATGGCATCCCGAAGATGGTCACATTATTTTACGTGCATTATTCAGCTACAAAAGATTCAAGTTTCATCTTCGAGCCCTTAGATTTGATGGCTTGAATTCTAGAGAACAGAGGAAGTCAAGTAACAAGCTTGCACCAATTCGTGACTTTCATGAAACATTTGTGAGTAACTGCATTGCTAATTTCATTGTAAGTGATTTCATAATGATCGACGAAATGCTACATCCATTTGGCTTTGGTCAATATATTCCCAACAGGCCTGCCAAATATGGACTTAAAATATCTGCACTATGTGATGCCAAGACATTTTACACATATAACTTCGAAGTCTATTGCGGAAAACAAATGCCAGGTCCTTACTTGAAGTCCAACAAACCAGCACGCGTATTCTGTATCCTCTAAGAAAGAAATTTCTTTCTATAAACTCTTTATCGCACTTTACCCTATTCTGTAAGATGATCGGGTTGCACGAAGGCATGGTTCGGTATAAAGGAATAGAAAGACAAAATTACCTCTTTCTATTATCCTTGTCTCTTTTTAACACACGCGTACTTATTGCATCTTTGTCGGCAGTCCGCATGTTGTCTACATTACGTAAAAGTGGGGTTATGCATATGTTAATAATGACGGTTAATAATAATCAAGTGAATACCATGGGTAAGTCTCAGTTTAATACCAAACTACTTAATTTTTAAATAACATTTTCCAGATAAACGGGATTTTAAGACTCATCCTCACCAGTGGAGCACTATTGTGGACTTTGGAGAAGAGCATCCCACAATTTTTAGACCACAATTCAAACATGGTGACGTTGATGCTAGACAAAATGCGATCTGTTGGGAGAATCTAGTACAATCATTGAATTCGATGGGATTTGGGTTTAGGAGTTTGGAGAAATGGAAAATGGTTTGGTTTTTATATCATGACCTTATATATTTACCTATATCGTGCTTGTTGCACAAATTATAGACTGTAGTTTACCACTTAGGTTTACTTTATACAACTGGAAAAAAACTTTTGATTATTCTAAAGTTCTTTGAGAATTTGTATTTTAAACGTTCAAACCACAAACCACCTCCAGCAGCTTACCAAAATGATTAAAATTATATGTCAGTTTGTCATTTAAAAAGATACAAATATATGTACTTTGAAATACTTAAAGAATGAATGTGGGTGTTTATTAATGTTTAATGTTGGACAGTGCTATATCAATAATTTATCATTTTTATATATTGCTTTAGGCTGTTGGTAGATGGAAACCTAAGGTTAAGGCAAAAGCAGCACAGCTGAGGATCGAGAGCCAAAAAACTGGTGGTGGCTGTTTAAATGCTGCTCCATTAACAGACACAGAGGAGCGACTAATGAAATTAATTGGTTGGAAATCAGTAACAGGGAATAGCAATGCAGAGCTGGGATTGGTAACTATGTCATTTGATACATTTAAATAAAATTGTAAGTAGGATTGTAATATGCAGGGTGAGCTTTCAGTGTGGCCTCGGTTGATAACTCTGTTATTAAACATGATATCAATCAATCAATTTTCAGATGAAGCACCCTGTATATTTTAACATCCTCTCATTGCCCTTTAACAGGGTTGACTCTTTTTAATTCAGATATGAATGGAAAAAAATGAAAAATATTACATTACATTACCAAATAAAACATAGCATAATGGCAGAGCTAGCGACTGAGCCCTCACAAAGAATTAACCCTGTATGTACTTACAGTACAAACATTTTTATCTACAGGGATCCATCCGGCCCATCGCAGCACACCAGCCACTGCCAGAATTGAAACCCTTCATAGAAGGAAACACCAGTAAAACTGCAACACCAGATCCTCAACCTTCTTGCAGCACAGTATCGAAGTCGCCTCCAACACTAAGGTTACTTAATCAAAAACCAGCCAGAAAACGTAGTCGACTGTCTACTGAAAAATCAAGGAAATTTGTTTCCTTGGCAAAAATGCATCAGGAGGCCATGGAGGAAAGGAAAAAGTTGAGAAATATTGTCAAACGACAGGCTGAAGCCCAAGAAGCAATGGCTGTGCATTGTAAACAATGTGATTTTAGTTTTAGAAGTATAAATAATATTTATTTATAGAATTTATTTTTGTTTGCTCTTAGATTGTTTGACTGAATAATGATTCAAGTTTTTTCGTTGTAATGTTTGTTTGTGGAAAACCTTTGTTTTTGTTTCATGGTGTTTTTCACAATAAAATATTTTTTTTAATTTTAGTTTCATTTTATTTGAAATATCTATCTAACATTTTGAAAATACAAATGTATTATGTTGACTCTCCTTGTCTGCCCTTGTTCAAGAACATTGCTTACAATAGCATCCGACTCTGGAACATCATTATCATCTTGCTCCTCTTCTTGATCTTCCATATCCAAATTAGCCCTAACACACATGTTGTGTAGGACACTAGTGGCATTGATAATTTGACCAGCTCTGAAGGGGGCATAATGTAAGACCCTCTCTTTCAGTAGACAACGAAACCTATTTTTCAAAACTCCTGAAACAAAATTTTCTCATTTAGTACAAAAATATATTAAAAATAAACATTTTTTATAAAATACCTACACATCTTTCCACACAATTCCTGGTTCTTGTCAAAGCTGCGGTATATCTACCTTCAGGAGTATCAGTAGGCATACCTTGAATAGGAGTCATAAGCCATGGCTCTTGTGGATAACCACTATCTCCAATTAACCGCGAATTATGATCACCATAAAGCATCCCACAAACCGGCGCGAAATATTCGCTTTGGCTGCGAAAATTTCGCGGCGATGAATTCGCGATCAGATTAAAACGCGGCGGTTTACGGACAGGCTCAGACTTGTGCGAAGCGAATGCGATTGTTCCAGCGTTTTTATCGCGGCGTATTTCAGTTCGCCTTTGACCGCGTTTTTGACACCGTTCTTCAAAAATTCGCAATGGCAAAAACGGAATTATTGATAGAAATAGTGAAAAAGTATCCTTGTTTGTATGATTTGTCGAATGATGAATACAGGAATGTGAGAAAGAAAGACAAGAGTTGGATGGAAATAGGAAAAGAATGAAATACAAATGGTATGTACCTAATATTTTTTATTAACTTGTTAAATAATTTACAGTCTACACAAATGTGAAAACGAACATTCTATATATTGGGCATAGGCATATCAGAATTAAAATAATTTACGAATTTGTCACGAGTAGAAAATGCTAGCCTTGCTGCCCGCCGAGGATCATTTGCTATATCAGTAAAAGCTCCAAGCACGGGTTCTGGGGGATCTAAGAATTGAAGATATTTGTCATCGCCACTTTTACTTCGTAAAAAATTGTGTAAAACACATGCCGTACGTACAATTAGAATAGTAGTATCTACTTTAGTTTCTAATGGCCTGTAAAATATTGGCCATTTTTGAGACAAAATACCAAACGCATTTTCCACGACCCTTCTAGCTCGACAAAGTCTTACATTGTATTTCTCTTTTCTGACGTCTGTTAAAGTCTGCTTATAAGGAAATGGTCTCATTAGGTATGATTTTAAAGCAAATGCTGCATCACCAATTAAGACGTACGAGCAGATTTCATTTTGCCCAGGGAAAAATCTAGGTGCATGGACACTCATTAAATTTTGTTCAAATCGTTTTCCCATGTTTGAGGTTTCGAAAATACCCCCATCACTATTTTTTCCGAAATCACCAATATCAACACATATAAATTTATAGTCCGGGCCAACAATGGCCATAAGTACTATTGAATATTTATGTAAATAGCACCAGTAATTGGAGCCACTGTTGTTAGGTCTCTTGATTGTTACATGTTTACCGTCCACGCTGCCAATGCAATTGGAAAGTCCCCATCTATTTTCAAATTCTTCAGCACATTTTTTCCATATATTCTCTGTTGGTTCTGGTAAATATATATGCTCCATATGTCTGCATATCGCTTCACAGACTTCGGTTACGATTGCACTCACTGTTGTAAAGCCAACTCGAAAGCTATGCCCAATGGTATAGAAGGTGCCACCAGTGGCAAGGAATCTATAAAAAAAATCGTTTTTAGGTGATGAAGTAAAAAAAAGGTGGAAGAATATCAGAGACACAGTTGCAAAATATATAAAATCTACCAAACCAAAGACCGGCCAAGCAGTGGGCAACATAAAAAAATGGAAGTGGGACTGCCGAATTTAACTCAAATACTCGTATATATCAGGAAAGGGCTGGAAATGTAGAAACCGAAAATTTGGAAGACCGCGGCCATGGAGAAGATGAAAATGCTGATGTAGATGCAGAAGATGCACAGAACGCCTCGGCAACACAGACAGCACCACCTTCTTCATTGAACACTACAGCAGTGACTACTCCAGGGCACACCTTTCCGCAGACTGCAACTACACCAAAATATAAAACGAGCAGAAAACGCTATGAACCACCATCTTCGTCTGTACAACAGCTCATTAATTATTTTGAAGGTAAAAAACCTAAAAAAGAGAACGAGGCCATTGATTCACTTTTCTTGGCACATGCACAGACTGTGAAAACACTTCCCTCAAAGCGTCAAGCCCGAATAAAACTAAAAATAGCCGAATTAATAGCGCACGAAGAATTTGAACATATTGAAGAAATGTCTTCAGCGTCTACCCAGAATTCTGCAAGTATGTATGATAGTACTATGTCGTCCTTCCCAAGCGGCACTCCAATAATATACCCAACAGAGGAGGCAAATTATGCCTCGAATTATTTAGCAACATTTAATCCTAGTGGCAACATGTAGTCCAATTATTACAATAAAATATTTATTTCACGATCCCTGAAGTTTTCGTATTCGATAAGCCTACTAATTTTAATACATATAATTTTTTTACCTGAGTGTAATAGCAAGTCGTTCTTCTGGCGAAATAGCTTCACGATAATTTTTGTCAGATTTTCGTATTTCATCTTTCACCAAGTTCAATATTTCATCGAAACACTCTGGAGTCATTCTAAAATATACGTAAAAGCGCTGTTCATCCAGCCTTTGCTGCTTTGTACATTTCTTCTAAATGAGTCCTTACATTGGAATTTCTCCAAATAAAAGCGTCATCATAATTTGCTTTTATATTTAGAATCAATAGATTTGCATCACATATTAATTGTACATTTTTTGAATGATATTGCTTTCTATTGAAATATAGATGCTCATCATCTTGAGGTGTAACAATGGCAATATGAGTGCCATCAATGCAGCCTATTACTCCTGGAAATCCAAATTGCGCCATAAACTGTTCTTTTTTCTGTTGCTTTTCAGCTTCACTTAATGGGAATTTTACCCATCTATGAGCAATTGACTCTAGAGCCAGACAAACTTCAGACACTGCTCTGCTAAATGATGGTTGTGACAATGCCACATACGCCTCATTTCCTCCTACCTTCTGATATGAGCCCTGAGCAAAAGACCTTAAGGCACCAAAGATCCTTATATGGACGGGAGATCTTGTACCAACTGCCGACTAAGTCTGAAGCACTTTCGGAACTCTCGTTCAGGCAATTCGAATGCATTTTGTTTATCTCGTAAAATTCTCCGCTCCAAACGTAATTGGTTTTGTGCTTCTTCATCTTCTGCGTCCTGTAGCAAATGAAGGAATATTGGCTCCATACTTTTACATGTAGGTGCTATTTTTTGTACTTCTATCTCCTTACATAAACTTGCACGAGTCGTAAAATCTAAATTATTAATAATTCGGAATTTCCCAACAAATTGACTAATTAAACAAGCAAAACAACAAATATTTTATATCGTTGCCAACTTACCCGAATGACTTCCGAAATTTCCCTAAAAGATGTCAATGTTTTTACAATGGATAGTTCACATTTCTCTGTAACCGAACGTACCCGAACGCCCGTAGAGAGAACAGTACAGAATAAGTTCACGACATAGAAAGAAATTTCCTCTCTATACTTAAAGAAAGAAATTTCTGTTTCTAGGACGATACAGAATACGCGTGCTGATGACATTGTCAAAAGATTAGTAGTTCCGATTGAGGGTTCAAAAAGGAATCTTACTACTGATAATTATTACAGTAGCTTTCCATTGGCGAAATATCTCCTACAAAAGGGAATTACTTTTCTTGGAACATTGAAGAAAAATAAAAGAGAAATACCTTTTGAATTCTTGACTCGTAAAGATAGAGGTATTAATTCGAGCATTTTCGGCTTTCAACATGATTGTTGTTTGGTTTCAACTGTGCCAAAAAGAAGCAAAGCTGTGATTTTACTTTCAACAATGCACAATACCAGTGACGTAGATGAAGTTACCAAGAAGCCTGTGGTAAATTTAGACTACAACGCCACAAAGGGGGGTGTCGATACTGTAGGCGAGATGTGCGCATCAAGAATTACGAGACGTTGGCCTCTTTCTTTATTTTATCGATATCTTGATATTGCTGGTATAAATGCCCGAGTTGTTTCTATGTTCAACAATGTTGAAAATAAGGAACGAAGAAGATTATTTTTGAAAAAACTTTCCTCAGATCTTATGAAAGAGCATTTAGAAGAAAGAAGTTCAATTAAAATGCTGCCTATAGATATTTGCTTATTTGGAAAAAGTATAATTACTACTGTAAAACCTGGTATTTGTTTTCTTTGTGGAAAACACAAAAATAATAGAACAAAATCTACATGTAAGATATGTAAAAGAAATGCTTGCAAGAAGCACAGCAGTATAAGTATAACATGTAATGAGTGTGACGATAATGTGAATGAAAATATGGATATTAATTAACCAGATAATTTAAGTTGTTTTCTGTGTTTTCATTTTACTGTACCCTTTTATTCACTTGTAACTTTAGCGGTTTACTTTAGAGTGTGTTTCAAATTAACACCGTATTTAGTTCAATAAAACGTTTCAAATATAATAACCAGCTATACTTTTAATATAAATGTAATTCTTTTTTTAAACCTATTACTTTACATTACAGCCTATTCAGACATCCGGTTTTGTTATTGTTGTAAAGGTACGTTTCGATTACACAAAATTGCGTCAAGTAGGTTGACCGTCTGAGAATATAGTCAGTCAAACAGGTCCACACTATTAGTTTTAGTAGCTAATATACGGGGAAATCTATTATGTGTGAAACATGTCTAATAGGTGCGTAGGTTGGAAGCGTGAACATATACCAGCTTCAAATAATTGAGACATACCTTTCCCAACCCCCTATAGCTCCCACTCTCAGTTTTTTTAGCTATAAAAATTGTTCAAAGAGGAGCTCTGAAGCGCTAAATGCCGAAGTTTGAACAATTCTCAAGTTTCTTCTTTTGGGCCTTTTACTCCGCTGCCACTGCCACCGATTACCAAAGCTTTTTCGTAGCTGGCATGATAGTAATATTGCGTAAGTTGCATCAAAATCCGGTTAGCACATCTCATGTTATAGGCGGTTATAGGACTAGCGGACAGGTAGACAAACGGAAATGAGTGACATCGTAAAAAAGTTCTTACTAAAACATCCAAGAGAAAAACCTGGCAAATATCTTCAGTTTCTGGAATAGCCTGCAATCTTGAATCTAAAAAAGTGATGTTTCTTTGAATTCCGCTTATTAACCTTACAAAAGACTACCTGATCTTCAAAGTCGAGGATACTGTGAACTTTTTCTGTTTGTCAACCTTTGCTCTATCTCTAAGAAATAAGTGGTGGGAGTATTCAGAAGTTTAAGTAAAAAACGTATCTGCGATACAAATGCATATTTTAAGTTTTGTTACTTTCAC